TGGAGATACTAGATTTGAGTGGTAATCAATTTAGCGGGGCCATTCCTCCATCTATTGAGGCACTTCATTCTCTAAAGGCATTGTTTCTATTTGGTAATCAACTCAATGGCTCATTACCAAATCTTGGTACGTAAGAGATTTATTTATTCTTTTTCCTTCTTGCACATGAAATGGCATGATCAAGACTAAGTTCAACATGAGATGCTACCTTAATCTACGTTCTGAAGGCTTTACACTACCCCTAAAAAAAGGGTTAAATAAAGAAGGGACACATTCTTTAGGTTTGCCAAAATGGAATTGTTAATCGTTAAAATCCAATATATGTAGATCCTAATTTCTAACCCATGGCTGGCCTAATTCAACTGAATTCACTACTCAAGATAGATTTCATGGGCCTTTGGAAGCTGAAAAAATAGCAGGGTAGTAAAAGCCCAAATGCCTAATGAGAAAAGTATTATGTTCATAGTTTTAAATTTTTTTTTGGATAATATATTTAAAATTTTAACGACTTTGCTCCTTTGAAAATCAAGATTGACATTATGTACTATTCTTGTTCATCTATTGCTAGGTTTTACAAGATTGGAGATATTATATTTGAGTTCGAATCAATTCAGCGGGGCCATTCCTCTATCCATTGTGACACTTCATTCTTTAAAGGCATTGTCTCTATCTTCTAATCAATTTAACGGCTCATTGCCAAATCTCGGTGCGTAAAAGATTAATTTATTATTTTTCCTTCTTGCACATGAAGTGACATGATGAAGACTAAGTCCAACACAATATGCTACCTTAACCTTTGTTTTGAATGCTTTATGTTGTGCCTTAAAAATAGAATAAATAAAGAAGGGACACAATCTTTAGGTATGTTGCAATGGAATTTTTAATTGTTAAAATCCAATATATGTAGGTCCTAAATTCTAACCTATGTTTGGCCCAATTTAACTGAACTCACAACTCAAGATATATTTCATAGGCCTTTGAAAGTCGAAAGAATTGCAAGGCCATAAAAGCCCGAAAGGCCTAATAAGAGAAAAGAATCTTGCAAGCTATTTTTTTTTAAATAATATATTTAAAAATATATTTTTTATTTAATATTTTAAAAAATTAACTATGGAATTAAAAGTTATATTCATATAAATCATGCATGTCAATTTTTACATTGTTCTAGTAGACTTATCACTCTACTGATTACATAAAATTTAATATTATTAAATATATGTCAATAAATAGAGTGTTTTTATCAAAGGGTTAAGTGTTAGATCATAATGAAAATTGACATGCATTAGTTATATAAATAAAATTTTTAATTTAACAATTGATTTTTGAAAATATTAATTAGAATATAAGTTTTTAGACATTTTCTTTAAAAAAAAATTTTGAAGAAGATGACCTCATGCCTTATACTTTTTGTCAGTTAAACAAAGCCGATCAGAGCCTCTTTTTTGCTCTAAACTGAGGGCATTGGCAATTTGAATGAGCTTAGGAAAATAAACAAAAAGTGGAAATTCATTGGTAATTTCTAACTAATGTAATTGCATTCATTCGAATAATTGGAAATTAACTGAGAGATCATTTGGTGAACTAATGAAACACAAAATTCCTTATGGATTCTTAGTAAACAATTTATGTCCTTTATGGCAGGTCTGTGTGGATTAAAGAGGCTTCAAGAGTTGGATTTGAGCCAAAACAATTTTGAAGGGACACTTCCTCCATGTCTAAACAATCTAACGTCTCTTAAACTTTTAGACATTTCAAACAATTTTTTCTCCAAAAACCTTTCCTCAGATTTGATACAAAGCCTCCCATTATCCCTTGAATTCATTGATCTTCGTCACAACAATTTTCAAGGCTTATTCTCCTTCAACTATATTGGAAATTATTCCAAGCTTGAGGTATTCATGCTCACAGGCTACAAAGATAGATTACAAGTTGATGCTCAGTGTCCAAATTGGATTAATAAGTTGTTTCAATTCAAGGAATTGATACTCTCTGATTTGAGCATGACCAGTATTCCAAAGTTTCTCTTTTATCAACAAAAATTGAGAGCAATTGATCTTTCTCACAACAAGTTGAAAGAAGAGTTCCCTGTTTGGCTA